ATACAAAGAAATTCCCAGGAGATCATCTTTTCTTTAAGCAAAAAGTACGGCAATCTTGACGCCAATTTACGATGCGTCAGGTACGCCTGGTAAGCTGTTAACATAAGGTGCGAGAGTGATCGACGAGATCCAGGCATAGATTCGACAAGGCTTGCCTTAGGCAACACAGGAGGAACGGTTATCTTGGTGAATGACATCATCGGGCAGGACGATCCCGAGCAGTATTATTCTTATTAGTTAATCTACGGAATGCCAAACAAGCTAGGGCTTAGGGCTTCATGCTATTGGATCGCACGTGGTAATGGCAATTCCTGCCTGAGGCATATTACGCGCGGCGCGCTGTTCGGAAGAAAGAAGCTCCGTGCAGCTCGCAAGTCGCAATGGATCCTCCCTGGGGATAGATCAGTCGCCAGCATCGGACCGTCTCAAGCTTCACTGCCTTGGACATCATCGCTTGCTCTACAATGGCGAGGAAATTGAGAGCAGCTGCGCAGGCAGCTGCCAAATCAATGAGTATGCTTGCCTATTTTTTATTGTGTTCATCCTCTTGTTGTTCTGCTCAAAAACAATTCCCGCGCGAGTCCAGGTACTAACCAGTCGTTTGTAGAAAATGTACCGCCGCCGCTCCCAGACGCATCAGACGAAGAAATGGCAGATGCGCCCCCGTCACGCGAATCTTCACCGGCTGAGGAACCCGGCGAGCCCTCCGAGAAAGAGTCCGACGTCGAACCTCAACCAGAACAACCGCAGGAGAAAGCACCAGAGCCAGCAACACCCGCTCCAGAAACCACCGCTCAGGAATCAAACCCCGTGTCGCGAGCAGACACTCCCACGCAAAGCCTCGGCCGTGTCTCAGCGATTCCCCGGAAACGTCGTCCTGGTCGTCCTCCCAAGAATCGTCCTCCAGACTGGGATGCGCCGGACGGCAGTGCGCCGCCGCCAGCGCATTCAGGCACACCGGCGAAGCGACGACGAGGTCGCCCTGCGGCTAGTGGTGGAAGATGGGCGCGCAACAGGGGCCCCTCGCATGTCACGCAGGTCCCGATTGACAAGGAAGGAAACATGATGGATGTCATTGACGACGAGGTGGCGCTTCCGCCCGACCCAGAGGGCGAAACCAAGGTCGACAAGAACGGTGTGCTGAAGGAAGGCCGAGAATACCGGGTTCGGACGTTTACCATCCTCAACCGCGGAGATCGGCTTTACATGTTGTCGACAGAACCGGCACGCTGCATTGGCTTCAGGGACTCGTATCTGTTCTTCCAGAAACACAAACTCCTGTACAAGATTATCATCGACGATGAGGCTAAACGAGATCTCATTGAGCGAGAGGTTATCCCTCACTCGTATAAGGGGCGTGCCATCGGTGTCGTGACGGCTCGGTCGGTCTTTCGAGAATTCGGTGCCAAGATTATTGTTGGTGGGCGGAAAATTATCGACGACTACAACGTTCAGGCCGCGAGAGAGCGTGGGGATGTCGAGGGCGAGCTTGCAGTCCCAGAAGACAAGCTACCTCCCCCAGGCGAGCCGTACAACAAGAACCAGTACGTGGCGTGGCACGGAGCCAGCAGCGTCTACCACACCAACGCCCCCTCTCTTCCGCTACCCACTGGTAAGGCTATCGACTCGAAAAAGCGCAAGGTGACTGTGACGGGCGATAACTGGATGCTTGAACATGCTCGGGAGGCCAGGTATGTTCCCCCCACCCTTCTGTCTGTCCGTTTAGGTGAATCACTAACGCTTTTACTAGTTCCTTCAACTCGCTGATCCTGAACGCGCGCCGCGCGAATCTGGAAGGTGTCTACGACATCCACACCAATGCTATCCACTACCCCAAGATCATGCAACCATCGCACGCCCGCTGGGAGCGTGTTCCTCCCCCCGATCCGCGGGTCGCCGCCAGACTCGCCAAGGGACTATCCACGCTGAGCCTGACGAACGGGACAGACGAGGCCGAATCACCAGCCGACCACACCGCTGAAGAGCCCACAGACACCGAGCCCCAAACTATCCTCTCCACAATTCCCCCTGCGCTCTCCCGCCGGTTCGCAATCCACGACACCGTCTTCGAAACGCCGCCGTACTCCAACATGGGCGTCCCCGGCCCGGACGGCGACGTGCACGATCTCGGCAGCAACGGCCTCATCAGCACCGCCGATTCCCTGCACCCGGAGTTCGTCGGCCCAGAGATCCTCGCGGAGCTGCCACCAGAGTGCAAGGAGGCGCTCGTCGAGGCCGCCGCCCGCGAGTGGGAATGGAAGTCGAAATGGCGCAGCGAAGCAATAGACGGGCAACGCACGACGGCGCTGAAGAGCTATGCCTGGTTCCCGTAGTCTTTCTTTCTTCCCCACGGAGTCGCAGAGCAGCCAAGTGTTACTCTTCACTTTCCATTCCATCATCATTGTCATCGCCATCCTCATTCTCTCTATGTTATCACGTCGCAATCGTATTTGGCATGGGCAGGGTTTGTATTTCTTCAACGGAAAGGAGAACAAAAGGTGCTTTTTCTTTTTTCATTTTACGTGTGTTAAATGCCTAATCTGTCTCTTTTACTCTATAGCGGTGGGGTCCGGTGTGACCGATCACTCGTCAGACAGCAATCTATTCCTTCTGATATCGGATATATATTGGCCTCGTAGATCCATTTCCTTGAAATGCAGTTGCAGGGTGTATTGTATCTATGCGCAAGACCATTACCTAACGGTGTACTAGAACAGATTCAACCCCGATCGGGTAGACAAATGAGATGCTAATCAAAAGGACATAAGACTTCGTTCAGCCATCGGGTGGGGACGTAATATGACAGAGAAAAGTCGCGTAGCTCAAAGCAAACCGATTTACGCCGACTGGATAACTGGAAATGAAAAGCAACGGAAGCTGGGGGAAGAGTAAACGCAAATTCCACTCCATTCAGGTATATGCATGACTGCTAAGAGGATGTGAGGAGAGAAAGACGGTGGGGAGACAGATAGATTGCTCAAGCTCAGCCCATGGCCATCTCGGCGCGCAGCTTCTCCAGTTCTGCCTCCTCGTCTTCCTCTTCCGCCTGCTTTGTTTTGGCTTCGACTGATAGTATTGCATGTTAGCTGTGCCCCATGGAAAGTCCACTGGTGGGTGCTTACGCTCTCTGTTGCCGGCAGCAGGTAACCGGTTGAGGTCCGCGACGGGCACGGTCCCGGTCTTGAGCATGCGCTCGTCCATGACCTCCTGTTCGAGACCCTCGAGTTCCGCCTCCAGTTCGGTCTCGTCGGGCTGTTCGCCCAGAGGGTTGTTCGTGATGACCTGTGCGATTTCCTCGCTGAGTTGGTGTTGTTCCCGGAGTTGGTCCCTATCCTGTCAGCATCTGCCTGCCCGATGTCTAGGGCAAAAATTACATACATCGTCTCATCGACTTTATCGATCGTCATCGAGCCATGGATCTGTGTCATGGCAGCGCCGGCCGCCTTCATCGCGTTCAGAGTCTCCTGGTTGATATTCGCCGCTTCGATCGAGTAGATTTGCTGTTCGAGCTGGGCGATCTGCGCGGTTGTCTGGTCGAGGTTCTTTTCGTGGACCTTTTTCCTTCGCAGAGCGGCTTTGGCAGCTGTGGCAGACAGTCAATCTTGTGTTCCCTAACAAGAACAAAATCCAAGGCAACGCGCACCATTCTTATTTGTCGAGACGTTCTTTCGAGCGACTGCTTCTTGTTCCTCCATCAGATGCTCCAGGTGCTTTTCTCTCTTCTGCAGCATGTCCAGCTGCTCTCGCAGCAGGAGGATCGCGTTCTTGGGCGCATCCTTGCGCTTCTGAGCGGCAGCACCGCCGAACCAGGACCACATTATGACTGCAAGAAGTATTGTTGAATCTTTTATAATTCAGTGTGGTATAGCTTGAGCGAGATAGACCTTAGTGAGCCTTATCGTTGGCCTTGATACGTCTGGAAAGCGGTCGAAGGCGGTGGAGGCGGACAGCAGCCAGATAGAGGAGGGGTTTATTGGATTGACCGAAAGGAGTGGGTGTCTGAGATGCAGATATCGACTCCACGATAGGGTTATCTAGTAATGGGGGATATAAATGAACTAAAATGGCCGTTGCCTGGTTGCAACCAACGGACAATAACAGGCATGCGTAATTGCTATCTAGGCAGAGAACAGAGGGCGAGATGATTCCCCTCGTCACGGCGGAAGATCCTATGACATACGCGCTAAGCCTATCGGAGGTGGGCCGTCACGTGGTATCTCTACTTCAGATCCCCTTCATTATCAGAATCGACACTTGTTTTGGATTCATCCTCAGATCATACCATAGTGAGAATGAACTGGCTGTAGAATCACAGAGGGATGAACGGCCCTCTCCCCTCCACCCGAGCCTTTCTCTCCGACCTCCCTTCTCTCCCGACAGGCTCCAAAGTTCGCTTTCTGGGTTGGTGCGTCTCGCTACATTTGCCTATAGTCTTCTCTAGACATTAGCATGTCTACTCCACTCCGTAATTTAGCTGATACGCTTACAGCGTGAGAACCTATCACATCCCTTCAGGTCACCTAATCCTAGAACACGACTATCCCCGCCGTAGATTTTCTGCCAACGCAGGACCAGAACCCGCTTCTGTGGCCGTCGATGTGAACGCGGTTCTGGAAGCTGTGACGGCGGAGGAACTGCGTGTCGGGGCTTGGGTCAATGTCGTGGGTTATGTGAGGAACTGGGGCTCGGACTCCAATGATCATGATATCCTCCGCAAGCTGAGGATGTCGAGTCCAGTGTATGTGGAGGCTGTGATGGTTTTCTCAGCAGGTGTGGTTGACCTGGGCGAGTATGAAAGGGTTCTGAGGGAAGCGTTGGAGGTTGACCGGAGAATTTTGAGACCAGATTGAAGCCAACTGACGGTGAGTCTTGTTTGGTTTTGATTCGTTATGGTTGGTGTCATTAAACATAAGTCATATTTAGGTTACCTGCTATGCTGAATGAAATATGCCGCCTCTATACATAGGTAAATCACTTTTCTAAATATCGTGTTGAGAAGACTAAACTTCCATCTTCTCCTGCTCAGCCGTCGCGCTGTGTTCAACGCGCTGCACCAGTCGTTTCCGCTTCCCCTCCAACCGCATCTGGTCCATTTGCATGCGCGTAATCAGCGCGCTCTTCCGGCGGATCTTATACCCGTACTTGTAGAAAACAAACGGAATCGGGATAATGGCCACTTCGAGCAACCCTAGCAGCGTCCCCGACCAGTTGGGCCCGATCCCCGCGTACATATACGAGCCCACCAAGGGCAACACACCACCCAGGATACTCCGAATGACAGAGTTACCCGCCATGGCCGACGCGGCGTACACCCCGTAACTCTGCGTGAGGTAGTTGGACGCATAGATGAAGACGCCCGTGTTGCCGGCGCCGAAGAGGACGCCTGCAAGGATGGGAACGACCCAGTGGATGGACGCTGGGGCGCAGGTCCAGGCGAACCAGAGCTCGCCGGCGGGGATGAGGACGGCCGAGATGCAGACGATGGACACCATGGCTTCGGGGGCCACCTTGCCCGTTTCCGGGTCGATTTTGTGGCTGTTGATCAGCCGGCGGATCAGCGGTTCGCAGGCGATGGTGATGAGGCAGCCAATGCCGATTCCGCAAAAGGCCAGTCCGGAGAGGCCCAGGGACCAGMCGCGCATCTGACGGAAGACGATTGGATAAGCGGTGAAACAGAGGTAGAGGATGCCGTACACGATGGCGATGTAGATGTTCCAGAAGATACTTGTCGAATGTCAGCCGTGGGAACGGATCCTTAGTATGCAGGGAGCGAACTCACCAAATGGGTTCGGTGACCGCCATGACAAACGGACGGCCCAGGTTCAGCTTCAAGAGCTCGCCCAGACTCATCTTCTGGTCGTAGCGACTCCACCAGCGTGATTCACCCGTTTCTTTTCGGAGTGCGGCCGCCTTCTTCTGTAAGATAACAGGGCTATATGTTTCTCTCATGATGCACGAGAGGCCCAGCGCAACTCCGGACAGTATGAGGGCAATCCAGTTCATCCACCTCCAGCCCAGATACTGGGTCACGAAACCGCCAATGATAGGGCCCAGCACTAGTATTCTAGTCAGCGCTACGGTGCAGTTGTCCAGCAGGCAGGCAACAACGAACCTGGGCCGTTCACAGGACCAATACTCCAAATAGACATGGCCAGAGCTCGCTTGTCGTCTTGCACCAGGTCGGCAACCATGCCGGGAGCACTAGAGATCATGACACTGCCGAAGAAGGCGCCAATGAAGCGGACGATGATGAGAGCCTCAACGGACTTGCTCAACGCACAGGGGATAATCAGGACGGTGAATACAAACAGACAGCCGATCGAGACCGGTTTGCGGCCGTAGATCTCGCTCATCGGAGCCATGAACATCGACCCGATGGCTAGACCAAGAAGGTAGAAGGTCAAGCCCAGAGTGACGATGGTCTCTGACGTGTGGAACTCGGACGCGATAGCTGCTATGCCAGAGGTGTAAGAAGTCGAGTAGAGGACACTGAAACAGGTGAGCCAGTTACTTCTCAGCCAAAATGACGAGCCGACACACTCACACAATCAATGTGTTGAAGGACAAGAACGCCACAGCCATGGCTTTGTATCGGAACGACCAATTCTTCGGATTCGCTTGATCGTTGTCACCCTCATAGTCCACCTCGAAGTTGGGATCCGTGGTGCCAGTGGTACCGATCGAAGTCACTTTCCTTGTCAGAGACGGCTCTGACAGTCGTGATGCTCGTGTGTTCACTGTCCGCAGCGCTTCCAGTTGGTCGATTGTATCGTCGGAGGTGGTTGACTCGCCGATGGACTCTACATCTGCTGGCAAGGCTTCTTCCTGGCTGTGCTCGGGCCATCTCTTAGGTTGCGACATTTCATCTACCTGAAGTCAGATGGGATCGACTGGTTCTGTTTGTTGAGTCCACCTTTCGGTTGGGATTGCGCTCCGGCACCAAGGCGATATACGGGGTGTGCGAGAGTTGGTTTGCCGTACAGCCGCCAATATGAATTCTTTCGGTTATATAGTTTCAATCACTCATTCTGTTCAATTCATGTATGATCTTCGTGGGGATAATTTGCGAAGATTCAACGTTTGCTGGAATGGAGCAGAAGGTATTGAGGTCTGTATGAAAGCGAATGAAGCAATAGGTAGCAGTGATGCACGACCCGATCTGAAACAGACAGGAAAGCCAGACAGAAATCGAGCGAGAGCAAGCAAAAAGGAATAATGGACTTATAATTTCGCAGGTGTGAAAGCGACTGAAACGATGAGTGGTAGGGGAAAAGGGCCGGTGGGGCCTCAGGTAGAAACCGTCATGCAGACTAGAAGAAGAAGAGGACTAGACTCTGAAATGACTCAAGACGATGGATATATTGAACGGTAGACTACCGAGTTGGCTTGTTCTCGAACGAGTTTAGATTTAGAGATGTACTAGATGATTCTGATTGGATAGTTGGGAGTGAAGAATAGAGATATCGACATCTGCAGCGTTCAACCTCAAGGGCTATCTAGCTACTAGGCTATCTACTGCTACTTGTAGAATGTAGACCGACATAGTTAGAGACCGAGGCCAAAAGTGCTTGGACGTTATAGTTTCGGTTGGTAATGTCGGCAACAACTTGGACCCCCGCATGGTCGAAATCCATGTAGGTAGTCTAGTCATAAAAGAGTCAAGATGTGCACGAGACTGGTAGCCAAGATGCATGCTATATGTACGAACCCTGGAAATGAGGTGATTGATCATCGTCCAAGTGGCAGTGGTGGTGGGTATGTGATGGTGCAAGATTGAGCTCGGAATGAATTCCGCGATAGCAGGTTATCCTCTCCAGAGTCCAGACTGGATACTTCAATTACAGTCCACCGCGATCGAAAGAAGGTTATTGATGACCCCAGATATCCGGATTCCAAAGTACGCTCCACTCTCCCAGTCCATAGTACAGTAGTAAGTAGACACTCCATATTGAGTTGGAGACAACAGAGTCTGGAAAGAATGTGACTTTGCTACTACTCGGCTTTTCTCCGCTGAGAGGCTTCGTTGATTGGCACGAGAAGTGATGGGGTACGTTCTCTCTGTCCAGTTAGAATTGCTAAGTTACGTTCCGGTTTGCCGCGATGCCGGTTTGCCGATGAAAGGAGACGTCCACCACGTCTTGGCGTAGCAAAGGCAATAAGGCATCAGTATATGCGCTGTTGGGTATGATTCTTAATCTCAGACGGTCATCGACTGCTCTACGAAGTAAATCAAACCAGTCTGCGCCATGAGATATCCGTCTATACAGTACATGTTTTTTGCATGATGGCCAGGCACTTTAGTTGGCAATTGTAGCTCAAGAATGCTGCAGAGCTGCCTGTTTCCTTCACAGAGTACTAAGAAGAATTCATACAAAGAAATCCTCTCTCTCTCCTAAATAAACAGCATTTCAGCAGCATTAGATGATAACAATTGCACTTATACGGAGAGAAGGCTTTGGCATCATCACCAATCAACACATCCATGATACAGCGTAATCAAAAAAGTAGCGAAAACTCTAAGCGATCCGTTTCCCCACAAAGTTCAGCCAATCAGCATTGTTCCTGTTTGAAACACCGCTCTTCCATAGTAAGGTACCTAAAGAGACCTGTATACTTTCTATCACTGGGGAGACAGGTATCTGGTACGTACTTCAGGCAGGCATTAATTTGTACCTGATCAAGAAATTAAAAGACACGCCAAAGCATGCTTTAATGACTACAGAGATTGCAGCATGGCATTGCAAATCATAGACATGGAATTTCTTCTACTTGTGTAATGTTCAGGGGTAGCGTACTGTCGTACTACCTACGGTACTGCTGTACTGTATGTACATACTTTGTAGCACTTAAGCACGTGGAGCGGAATCCTCAGTCCCCACTCACTATTTGTTGCAAAAAGCAATTGACACCTGACAAGAGAATTGTCCAAGAGCATTCTATTCTGCTCAGATTGATTGGCTGAAGCATATTTGGCCTCTTCTGACTTCATCAGAACTAGATTTTGATAACGATATCACGAAAGGGCAAGATCCAGTCGCCTCCTACTGTAAACAATGGATCATGTGGACCAGATGCTTGTCGCTCGTCTAACCGAAGCGACTAAGAGTCTCGACCCAGCTCGCTTCGGTGGCCTTCAGGTAGATGATTTCAACCTCAGCAACAGATTACTCAACTTGTGCTCGGCTCCCTGGGGCTCTGAACTTCTCAGTATGCGGTTGATGGATTTTTGAGGACTCCTACTTCAATCAGTACTCGTCTGCTTCCCCTACAGCCTTCCACGAGCGACTAGGTCACTTCTGGCAATCGGGCAGTAGTTATTAGCTTTGTTTTATATCAACTGTCAGACGAACTGCTTCAGTTAGGGTGATACTGCTGTACACTCAGTTTCGATCCAGACGAATCCGTTCGCTTGTTGCCGACCTGCCATATGTCTTCCATTCTTCTCGCTGCTTGTATTGCGGCCCTGGTCGCCCTGTACCTCTACCATGTCAACCGAGCAATGAATCAAGTTCCGGAGGAAGCTCGTCAACTATCTCCTCGCCGCTGGACCGTGGAAGAAATCAAGGAAGCTTATCGAAAGGCAATTGAATCCCCGGTAGATGTGAGCAAGAGCCTTCCTMCAAAGCAACATAGACGATACATTGTTGTGGGCGGATCAGGTATGTCAACCCGAACAATTGATCCAAGGTAACTGCTCATGAACCTCAGGACTTGTTGGAAATTGGATTATAACCCATCTTCTTGCGCGTGGCGAGGACCCAACTGCGGTTCGCGTTCTGGATCTTCAGTCGCCCCGTCAGCAGATCCTCGACCAGGGAGTGGCCTTCGTCAAGGTCGATATCACCGATGCAAAGGCCGTTCAGGCTGCATTCGCGCAACCGTGGCCGCAACAGGTCGCCAGCCTTCCATTGACCGTCTTCCACAATGCCGCCGTAATCAGACCAGGAGAGAGACACAAGGCCTTTCTCCAATTCTGCACCAGGGTCAACGTCGACGGAACTAGGAACGTCGTGACCGCGGCAAAGCAATACGGCGCAAGCTGTTTAATCTCGACCTCATCCGGATCCGTGCTACTTCGCCGTCCATCGTTCTGGATCGCACCCTGGACCAAGTGGCCCAAGGGCGTCGTCCAGATCATCAGTGATGCGACAGAGTTGCCCAAAGCGCATGACCAGTTCTTCGGCAACTACGCCGTGTCCAAAGCCGAGGCCGAGCGCATCGTTCGCACCGCCGACAGCCTCGAATCCAACTTCCGCACGGGCTGCATCCGGCCCACCAACGGCATCTACGGCGTCGGCGACACCACCATCACAGGAATGTATCTGCTCAAGGGCGGAGCTCCAAGGTACGTTTCCTCCACTCCCTCAGGGAAGACCGCAAGCCTAACTCCGTCAACAGCTGGACCTACCCCGTCATCCAAAGCTTCGTCAACGCCGAAAACGTCTCCATCGCCCACCTCCTCTACGAACAGCGCCTGCTCGAGCACACCGCATCCCCAGCCCAGTTTCCCAACATCGGCGGCCAGGCCTTCACTGTCACAGACCCCAACCCCGCCATCGCCTTCAGCGACATCTACCTCCTCATGACCACCCTCGCAAAGACCCCCATCCGCTTCCCGCACGTCGCCCCCGTCCCATTCCTACTTCTCTCGTATCTGCTGGAATGGTACGCCCTCCTCCAGCACCTCTACCTGCCCCGGCTCTTGCCCAAGATCACGGGTGATCTGGCGCCGCTCCAGCCCGCTCTGTTCGCCATCTCGGACGTGCATACTTTCGCGGACGACTCTCGCGCACGCAAATCTCCCGCCGACGGGGGGCTGGGCTACGTTGCGCCCATTACGACGCTGGAGGGGATGTGCAAGCAGGTGCTGGAGTGGAATCGGAGTGCTGGCGCGGAGACTGTTGCTGCGGTTGGCGGGAAGGGGGTGGTTAGTGTTTCCGAGGAGGGGGTGGATGTGAACCTGGTGGTTCCTTCGAAGAAGTTGTGACCATGTAGTATCTGGTCTGTCAACGAGGTTCTCGCGGGAACATACTTGATGTGGTATAATCTGCTTTGCATTGCTTACGTGCTGGCTACTTCTAAGTTGTTGCAATTCTCTGAATAGCACATCATTAACCTCATTTCGATGGACGTCTATATGAATTGCCATTGCCATCAAAAACCTTGTCTAGACCTCGACTCTAATTCAGGGAAGCCAAAGTGTATGAGAATGTTCTCAGCCCCCGCCCAAGGATGGAGATTGACAGTTTCTCCAGGCTGTCTTTCACTAAGCCTCAATGTAGACAGTACCCACAACTCGCTGGATTGTCACAGAATTTGTAATATTGGTAGCGTTCAACGAGTTGCAACACTCCTGCCATAAATGCTTTAAGCATTGCCAATCAACCCGACATTCTTGATCACAACGAAGTGGCTGGCTGATTTCCACGGTTCGATTCCGGCTCCAGATGGTGCCTGTCAGGACTTTTCTGCGGGCCACTACGTGGGCTTTGTGTGTTCGCCTGTGAGCGATGTAAAGCGACTGAAGGTACGCGAAACCGGCCATAGTAAGGAGGCACGTTGGATGGAGAAGCCCTGCCTCGGCGGACTTTTATTGTACCGCCTCCAATTCAGCCATAAACAGAGTGACCCAAGTGGAAATCCACTTGCAGCACAATATCGTTTGTGCGAGTAGATCACTACCGCGCCTGCTGCTGAGCAAGCTGACGTCTCTGCTCCAGAATCTGCAAGCGCAGCCCCTCCGAGGCCAGTTCAACGTCAAGGATGGCACTGACGCCCCGCTTCCAAGTCTCCTCCAGACTCACCATCTCTCCCTGACTGGCCTCCTGGGCAAGCTTCCTCTGCTTGTTCACCGCCTCCGCCGCCTCTTTGGTCTCCGCCAACTCCTTCTCCAAACCCCGGAGGATATCTTCCAGCTGGGAGTTGCCAATTAGCCACGCGTTCTTGCCGTACTCCTCCAGAAGCGCCAGGTTCTCGTGCCGCATGGAGAGATGGGAGCTGGCGGTGTATGCTCTCTGCAGGGCGCGGCGCCATTCATCTAGATCAGGGGCTTCTCCGTCCGTCGAGCGCGCAGGCGGCTCCGGTGCCTCGTAGCGTGACAGGTCGATTCCGCCCGTCAAGGGCAACCCGGCGGCCTTGCGGTCGATCTCCTGCTGTATAAGAGGGGAGAATCGCGGTTCTGGCAGCTCGGGGATGGCGGGATGAAGAGTTGAGGCATGGTCGGGGGGTAATTCCGTTGCGATGAGTTGCTGTGCAGCTGCGCGTGCTTGAGCAGATGGCTCAGCGTCGATGTCTGGTCAGAAGGTCAGGAGTTGTGGCCGGAAAGTCGTGTGGCAGACTGGGAAGACTTACAGGGGAGGGAGTCGTGGGATTCGTTAATGACGGGCATTTTGTTGGCAGATGAATTTGACCGTAATCGAGTTCTCAGTATTGTGTTGAAGAATGCCTACTTAAATTGTTCTGAGGAGTGCTCTCAATCTGCTCTACGAAACGCGGAAGCTATCATTTTCTCTACCGTCTTCGGCGGTCAGACATCACACGCTTAGTCAGCGGACTTTTTTCCCACGGCTTAAGCGTTTCCCAACATCTCGTCGTAGGTGAAGGATACCTTCCAAGAGCTTAGTTACCTCTCTGACGGAGTGAAATCATCAGTGGCCATGTTACCGGTTTTGCAAATCAGTATTTGTCATGAAGACCGGAAGTCCGTCCAAGATCGAGGCGTATTGTCGATGGACCTCACCTTGCAAGGTCGAAATCAAGGTCAACTATGCACGGTGGCTGAACTATCTTCGTTCTGCAGGGCATGGCAGTATCTGCAGGTTAGATTGAATGACATCATGCTGAGTGCCTATCTTTGGAAGTTATATTAAGCCGAGTCAGCAGGACATCCAGTGTATAACTGCAATATCTGAGATACCTAGGATGTGAAGACGATGCTTGTCATTCTTGGTTATTGAAAACCACCAATGAAGCACAACTCACTCTCAGAGGATAGGCCGAATGTCAGCTTGGACATGAGGTGATATGGAAGCTGCCAACGTGATTCGTTGTCTGAGCGCAACCAACCGATACTCGAGTCATCGAGGTGGTTGTCTCGCCGCGGTCCAGGATCATACCCCGCAATATTCACTACCACGTTGTTGATCACGGTCAGCTTTGTGCTAGCTAGACTACGGATAGCTTGCTGGCTAATACTATAGTGCTTCTAGAGCTAACGACTTTCACAACGTGCCGCGGATGGGTCAACAAGCTACGAGGCAGTAAACTGATGGCAGTCCCCGTCAGGTTGTGACTGCTATGGCCTGGTTTTAAGGACCGCGAGGGCACCGGTGCCAACAGCTTCGAAGAAAAAGAAAGCAAGATGCAATGCACCAGAAGAAAATCTAGGGAAATGAACTCCGAGAAGCAAAACGGGTTCGGGACGCAGTCGCATTGACTGCTCCCCAACCCGTCCAGTCTCCCTCTCGCATCTTCACGGGATTAAATGGGTGGAGATGAAGAGGGACTGTTGTCTGACCCGCCTCATGTTCGTTTTGTTGAACTAATTGACAGGAGAAAGAGCAGAGGCGGACTCGAACTGGGGTGCAGAAGTGCAGACTACTGACGCGCAGAGGTCTGTGATTCAGACGTGTGAATCGACAACTTCTGCAGGCGTTCTGCCGCTGCACTACCGACCCCGGTTGGTTGCTTCTTCTCAAAGCTCACCAATTGATTAATCTGAGTCCAGTCTGTAGTGTCTAGACTCTAGGTCATGTAGCCTAGGAAGGCTGATATCGTCAAATATAGAGCGCCTCCGTATTATGGATAGACCAGTCCCAATGTGGAAGAGTGTTTCACTCTCCTGATTGGATTACTTAGAGCACTCCATAAGCCGTCAGACCGCATCTACCAATTGCACCGAGACGAACAAAGTGGTGTAGATGTCCGCACGCTAGTCACGCTAACCACGCGGAGGAAAATAACCCCACGTCAGCACTGCTGTGCTCTGCCAGTCAGAGATTGACCGTCGTATTGCGTCGATTGAGCGGCCATGACTTCACGAGGTGGCTACAAGCAGATCCTCTTTGTGGACGGCCCCTCGCTTGGCCGAGGAGGCGACGCCAAGTCCCGCAACACACGGTCAGCTCTGATCCGTCGCCTTATCGGTGAGAAACGGAGTACATACCGACGGGAGGAGGAAGCCAAGCGACAGCAGTTGATCGCTGAACGTCATGCACGGGAGAAGCAGTCAGCGGCCCGTGCGTGTACCTGTAAAGGGACGGTCAGGGTCCTCAAGGATCAGGCCGAAGGCCAAGAGGGTTGCGGGTCTTCCGAAACTCTGTCTACAGGAACAAAAACTAGCGTAACAGTACCTCAAAGGCAATCTCAGTCTTCTCAGACGCGAAACTCTGACAGCGATGGGACTCTTTCCCGGAGCTGTAGGACCTGCGGAGGAGTGCGTGCGTGTAGGCAGACGCAAGATAGCACCTCCTTGGCTCCGTCTCTGAGTCTTGTCTCTAGCAGGGTAGACCCCTTTTCTCCAGTGGATGCCAACATTGGACCAAGTGTAGATGATATCCTTCACCATGGTTAGTCTACTTCCCTTCTGCACAATCTTGGTAGATGGACTAACATGACTAGCGTTCACAAATCTCTGGCCCAACTTCCGCCGTACCGATTACGCCGGCAGATGCTACCAATCGCGGCTGGGTCAGAACTGGAAAAATAATATCTTGATCTATACCACCCTATTTGCCGCCTCATGCCATCGAGACGTCCTGCGCATCAGCTACGGGTTAAATCCGGTGCTGGACACCCGGGATCAGCTGTACTACAAGGGGCGACTCCTGCGGCTGCTGCGAGACCATGTGGCTGACTATGCAGATGAAGAATGGCGAGATGGAGTCATCCTAGCAATCTTGCATCTGTCCATTAATGAGACCTTGAGACAAGTCCTCAGCCGTGACCCAAGCCCATTCACACCCCCATTTGTGGACATGCAGTCACTGTCATTCTGTGGGAGTCGGGACTACCACTCCCTACATTGGAATGTCATTTGTCACATGCTGCATCAGCTGGGCGGGATTCAGTCCATCAAGCTGTTCGCCTTGGGCTGGTGGATAACAATGTGTGTACCTACTCCCAATGACTGCAATGACTCAGCTAATCTCATCCAGCGTGGATGTAATGAAAGCAGCCCACGCCCTGACCAAACCACTCTTCCCAATGGTCGATGTGGAAGGCAATGAGATCAACCTGCCGTCTCCTCTGCGCCTCTTTCCCCTCCCGGACGACCCATCCACGAAGCCGAAACTCGGCTTTAGAGACTTACTGTCCACCCGCCCACCGGTGCATGCCACCATTGTGGACGTCTTCCTTCATCTCAGTGAATACTCCACCCTGGTGCAATGGTACTACAATCGCTCCCTTGATCTGTTAAACTGCGACCGCTTCGCAGATGTCCGCAACCAAGTCCACCACGCTATCTTCAGCCTGCCTGACGAGCATGACCCCATCGAAACCATCCTTGAGCTGTGCGACCTCTCCCCAGATGACTTCTCTGTCTCCCATGGGCTGTACCTCACCTGCCGCTTAGCAGCGAACTTGTACGCGACGCACGTTACCTTTCCCCTCCCGCGCTCGGCGCTTATCCGAGCCATGATCATTCCTCTGCTGGCCAGCAAACTAGACCAAATGACGCAGGTTATGTGCACGCCGTTGCTGCTCTGGTGTGCCACCGTGGCTGCTATCGCAGCGGAAGGAATGCCACAGCACCTGCGACTAGTAGACCATGTTGAAACCCTATGTTGGGCATTGAAGGTCACGTCTTATCCGCGTTTCGTTGAGATCCTGGAAATATTCGCCTGGGTAGAAGTCGCATGCTCGGAGGGATGTCGTCGCCTGTGGGAGAGATTGGCAGCGCAAGCACCAGAGGGGAATGACTGGAGTTATACAGCGGACGCTGTGCCCCTTAGAATAGTAATGCGCTAACGATGCAACGAGCTGAGTAATGAATCAATGATTACTTAATGCCTTAGTATATCCACACCCCGGACAAGCCTAGAAGCCTAGAAACTAAGGATGCATACGGAAGTACTGATAGCCTGAAATGGAAGTATCTCCGTGTGACGAACATCGTGACAAACCTCCGCAGGGCCCCATATGATTTTCCATCAACCATAAATGACCCACTATAAACACTCATCACGATACCCTTGCATCACCACCAATAAATGCCGTGTATTCTGCAGATCTCACGGTATTATTTTGATGAAGCGGGGAATGAACGACCAGGAACCCAATCAAGTATGGCGGCGATGGATGGCAGCATGACGACGGCCACAAGCGATGCTACCCTCTGCTGCATTCCTGTTGATCTGCAGGTCATGCGCTGCCTTGCTGTATGAGGGTCATTTCCTGTTCCTATGTGGACCTCGCTTGAACACTGTCAGCCTGGCCCTTCGGAGAATAACAATGCGATTCGATCGATAAGAAGACCGCGACTTCCGCGGGGAAAAGCAAGGAAAAGCAACAAGCAGAAAAACTACTTTTCCTGATGTCATCACCATCACAACCCGCATAACCTGAGCTTGGACTGTCCGCACAGTTTCGTTCGCAACCATGGCGAACTTCAGATTTGGAGTGGCCGTGGCCGGGACGGTAGTGACGGCTCTTGTAATGTTGCAGCTGCTCTCTATTGTGCAGACCTACAATCCACCGCCCAGCTTCAGCTTCGTTGGCAAGGGATCCAGATGGGAACACAGGGCGGCAGACAGTGTCTCCGATGACAGTGTTTTTCTGCTGGGGGCTGGAAAGGCAGACATCACTGGGTACTGATAATTCTATTTTGCTCCATGCTATAATTCTTCGTTGTGGATGGACATCCCGCTGACTCTACGGTGATAGCCCGGTGGTGGAGGTAGCCCTCAGCGGATATGCTATGCTGGATCAGATTGGCACAGGTCTGCGACAGAGAATTTATTCCCGCTCCTTCATTTTCGCAAATCCAAATCAACCGGACGATACATTTATTTACATCGTCATCGACGCGGTGACGGGTGACACTGCCGTACGAAATGGAGTCCTCCAGGCGCTCGCGAATCTGGGTGGTGATTACGCGCGCTACGGCGAGCGCAATGTCGCGTTGACTGGGACGCACTCTCATTCAGGGCCTGGCGCCTGGAACAACTATCTACTTCCGCAGATCCCTAGCAAGGGGTTCGATAAGCAGAGCTATCAGGCTATCGTTGACGGCGTGGTCCTCTCTATCAAACGCGCTCATGACAGCTTGGCCCCCGGTCGCTTGAGCTTCGGCTCCATCGATATCCAGAATGCAAACATCAACCGAAGTCCTTATTCATATGACGCCAATCCGGAGGACGAGAAAGCACGCTACTCGGCCAACGTAGATAAAACGATGACGCTCTTGCGATTCGACAGGGAGTCGGACAACAAGACCACTGCCATCCTGACCTTCTTCCCGGTGCACGGCACCTCTCTTTACAACAACAACACACTCACTACAGGTGATAACAAAGGCGTCGCCGCCTGGCTCTTTGAGCGGAGCGTTCAGGGCGATGCGAATTTCGCCGACGACTTCGTAGCCGGATTCTCCCAATCCAACGTTGGCGATACGAGCCCGAATGTGCTGGGCGCATGGTGTGAGGATGGATCTGGGCAGATGTGCCGCTACAGCGACAGCACCTGTGGTGGCAAGACCGAGGACTGCCATGGTCGTGGGCCCTTCTTCCGTGAAAAGGACAATGGTGCGAAGAGCTGTTTCGAGATCGGACGGCTTCAATACGCCGCGGCCAAGCAGTTGTATAGCCAGATGGATGCGAGTAATACTCGGGTCACTGGAAGCTCTAATGTTCGCTCCTTTCACGCTTACCGCGATCTTGCTGGCTACACATTCCAGTCGCCGTTCAATTCTAGTACGCTGACGACATGCTCGGCAGCACTGGGCTTCTCTTTCGCCGCCGGTACGACTGACGGGCCTGGCTTGTTTGATTTCACACAGAATAGCTCTGGACCTGCAGAGTCCAACCCGCTGTGGTATGTCGCTCGAGCGTTTGTTCATCAGCCATCGGCAGAACAACAGGCGTGCCAGGCGCCCAAGGATATCCTCCTGGACGTGGGAGCCAACACGGAGCCGTATGCGTGGGAGCCGAACATTGTGGACATCCAGGTCCTCCGTGTAGGTCAGCTGTTCCTCATCATCTCTACGAGTGAGGCTACGACCATGTCTGGACGACGTTGGAAAGATGCAATTGCAAAGTCAGCCAAAGACGTTCTCTCAGTTGATAGTCCGTTGGTCGTGTTGGGGGCTCCTTCAAACAGCTACGCTCATTACGTCACGACAGAGGAAGAGTATAGTAGGCAACGCTACGAGGGTGCCTCCACCCTCTACGGGCCGCACACGCTCGCCGCGTACATCAATCTGACCCTTAGCTACCTCCCTTATCTAGGCGATTCGCCTAACCCTGCTAGTTTACCGGAGATGCCCACAGGATTGCAGCCACCCATCAACACCAACAAATCACTGAGCTTCATCGCGGGTGTCGTATACGACAATGCTCCAATTGGAAAATCATTTGGCGACGTGGTCGCCTCGGCGGCCAAGACCACGTACAAGCCTGGTGAGACCGTCAACACGACATTCGTCGGAGCCAATCCGCGAAACAACCTGCGTCAGGAATCTACTTTCGCAGCCGTCGAGCGGCAGAATCCGGCCTCAGGCACGTGGGAAGTCGTGCGTACTGACAATGACTGGAACCTGCTCTATCATTGGACACGGACCAATACTATCCTCGGATACAGTGAGGTGACCCTCGAATGGCAGATTGAGGATGACTACTACAATGTGGGCAACCCAAAGCCGCTCCAGGCTGGAACGTATCGCTTCCACTATTATGGCGATGCAAAGAATGTCCAGGGCAAGATCACCTCTTTTGAGGGCATTGGCGGGCCATTCACAGTGACTTTGGGCTGATCATGTTTTATGATGTGTGTGAAGGATGAATCATTAGCTTTATCATTAGGTATGAGTTATGAATATGAGACTACGATAGTCAACAAGTCGGGAGGTTATTAATAGGCCAGACTCGCAATCGTCTCTCCAATAAGTATCAAAGGCCTTTCATCTTCTACAAATCTAGACTTCAAGGCAAGGATTGCTACCTGTAAAGGTGGCAACGCATAGATCCTAAAGAAACTACTTTCTCAATATTTCAATGGACAGATCAAAGATCTTTAAATAATCTCGTCTATTTAAAGAGATCCAGCTGAGTCACCATTGCCAATGGTGCGCTGCAGCCTCTCAGGGTCGGCGGTTGGTGCAACGCCTCAAAGCGCTTCTTTGTCGCGCGCCATCCAACCTCGTCTCGACTACCAACCATCTCTCTTTGACATCGAGCTTTGAGACAATCAACAAGATCCACAATAATGCATCTAGCCGTGTATTCTTCAGGCCTGGATCGCCTGTCCCTAGTCATGCCAGACGCTAGCTTTCTGCAGCCTAACATAAGGGCTCCTGTCGTGAAAGCCTCTATGCTCTTATAATCTCCATTGTCTGCCAGAAGAGATTGTTCCTTGGCTAGTCTATCATTCTGCTGATTGTCTGTCGCTTTCTTTATTCTCTTTCTTTTTGTCTCCTCTGTCCACCATAATGCTCAATTAGTACAAGTCGACGTCTCGAACGAAACGTCCATCCACTCTTTCGGTCTTCTCATTATTTATCAAGCATACCTTCTTTAGTCAACAGCAGCTGTCATCTGTATTTTCCAATTCTCACTCCTTAATACCGTCAAAATGCAGTTAATCCACCTCAACATCGCGGTCGCTTTTCTCGCCATAACGTGCTCGGCTGGCCCGATCGCCCAGTTTACCCCCAAGGTTCGAGATCTGGAGCAAAAGAGCCAGAGTCCTGGACCTACAGTATATCCCAGCCCGTCGGCAGTTGGTGTGCATGTACCAGCGGCTTCAGATGAAGCGAATGGTGGTTTGGATGTTGTTCCCATCACGCCTTCCGTGACACTGGATGGTACTCAGCCGGCGGTGACACAGGCTTCGTATACATCTACTGAGATTTCTGGATCCTCGATGCTTCCTGAACTGCATTCGGGGACAGTTACACCATTGGCATCTGCAGAGGTTACTTTGCCTTCGTCTACAGTGGCCAGTTCTCATGCAACAGTGGATAGTGGTACGTATAGCTCTWCTGAGGTACCCGGATCGTCCACACTTGCAGGGGAAACGCATTCGTCTGYGRKMRCTWCYTYGTCTKTGKKWKCTRCKTWKCCTTCGTCTACAGCSGACAGTTCTCATGCAACAGTGGATAGCGGTACATCTAGCTCTTCTGAGGTACCCGGATCGTCCACACTTGCAGGGGAAACGCATTCGTCTGCGATCACTTCCTCGTCTGTGGGAGCTACTTTGCCTTCGTCTACAGCCGACAGTTCTCATGCAACAGTGGATAGCGGTACATCTAGCTCTTCTGAGGTACCCGGATCGTCCACACTTGCAGGGGAAACGCATTCGTCTGCGATCGCTCCCTCGTCCGCAGAAGCTAGTTTACCTTCATCGGAGACATCTGATGTTGTGATTCCGACCACCTCTTACTCTCAGTCAGCATCTCACTCACTGTCAACTCCGAGTGTGTCGAAGTCTACAACCTCCACCTCGATCCCTGTTATCAAGCACAGCCAGACGGCAGAATCTTCACCTGAGCTTTCCACAGTTACGCCCATTTCAATCGCTATCATTTCACCAAGCTCAGCCCCGGCAAGCACACCCACCACGACATCCAGCCTGACCGTTGGTGTCGTTGGACCCTTGCCTGGTGTCGGGGGAGCCAGCTCATCTCCTTCAAGTACGCTCTTACCAACGGCTCTGTCAGAAACTGCGTCAACACCAACGGTGACCGAGACCACGACGTCTAGCGGGACTGCTAGCGTGGTAGGACCGCGACCCGAGACAGATACAACCACCTCTTCTTCCTCTTCAACAGCATCTGCATCCTCTCTACCAGACACTACACCCACAGAGGCAGCAGGGCAGATCCATAGCACCTCCAGTGCACACTCCACACCCACCACCACACAAAGCACAAGTACAGCCGAAAGTTCAAGCACACCTTCAACCTTCAACTCTGCAACACCAGCCCCATCTCCATTCATCGGAGAAATCACAAGCAGTCAGCTCCAGATCGCTAGTACTACCGCCAGCGCCGACAGTTACGCCACATCCGTCCTCACACCGGTAATTGTCCTGGTTACACCGGGCGCAGAATCGACCCCCACGACAACAACAACAACGCAGCCAGACCCAGTCGCAAACGCAAACGCAAACGCAGATCCAACAAGCACCCCTGCATCCGGCGCAAGAACTAGCCCTACCGAAGGAGACGAGATGACCACAATCCACGCGACAGCAACCATAACCAAGAGCGTGGTCGTGTTTGCTTCCAGCGCTCCTACGGCTGAAGCGCCAGCTTCAGCTGCTAGTGCTGCGGAGACGGAGCAGGGATTGGGCTCGAAGACCACACTTACGGTCGCGCCAACGGTTACGGCTGCAGCTACTGCCCCGTTCAGAGATCCGGGGGATGCCCAGTTGTCCATTGTGCCTGTTACGCCGGGGGTGATGACTGTGACCACCACCAAGACCGAGACCGAGACCGTGACTAAAACGGAGAGAGAGACTGTAACTCAGACAGTGACAGAGAAGGAGACTGTCACTTTGCGGGGAAATTAGCTAGTTAATTCTGTTGGCTTTGGCAATGTGCTAGATGTGTTAAGAACCTTGAGTTTAGAGGCAGATGCACTGTACACTGTACCATAAATTATAATTATAATCTCCTAGATGTAGTCACCGAATTTGGCCATTTCAATAATTCGTTTGTATCCCGTTATACACATTATATTCGCCCTGAACACCCGAACAACCCTAGTCTACATTAACCGATAAGGATGCGATAGTCAAAGGTCACTAAACGCGCTGAATTTCGCCTGGTAATCCTTCAGACTCGCCCACTGGCGCAGCTCCTCCTCGTCTCGGTCCCGGTCGCTCAAATAACTCATTCTACGTCCGTTTGAGTGGGGGCTTGTCCCGGCCGTTCCCGGTGTGGGCGCCGCGAGTCCCTCCAGTCGGATGAGGGTGTCGATGAAGGCGTGTAGATAGGATTCTGCCTCGGCAAGGGTGATGGGGTTGGGGCCTGGCGTGGAGGGTGTAAAGGTGGTCGTCTCGGCCCGTGAGTGGGGGAGGTTAAGCAAGGTTGACGCGACTTGGCGGACTTTACCGGTCTGACGGACGGTTAGGTAGCTTTCAACAAAGGGGGAAAAAGAAAGAGCAGATACATACAAAGCTGGCACCGTTGGGTTCCATATTGACCTCGTTGACCGACCGTAGCAAGACAAACAGATCTCGAACGACGAGACGGCGTTCTTCTGCCATGGCCATTCCAATGTAGTCGCTCTGAGCGGCATCGTCGATCCCCTTGTGCGCATTGCCCTCCACTTTAACTGGAGTTCCGGGTCCTCCCTCCTCGGAGGGTCGGTGATACATCTTCCAAGTGGCGTAGAGACTCCAGTACTTCTCGGCCAAGTAGGATCTGGTGGCCAGTTGGCTCACGTAGATATTGGCCTTCTGGATCTCGTACTGGATATGGCGACGCTCGCGCATCCAGAGGTCCTCAGCCGCATCCACGGGATTGTTCCGGTGAGGGTGGAGTGATAGCTCCGGTGGCACGTTGGCCAAAGCCGCTTTGGAATTCTGCAAACATTCGAATAGCAGAGACCGTTGCCGCTCCCAGTCAACGATTTGCCCGCTGCCGAACGCAACCTCCCAAGCGGACAGGGAGTTGTACGAGTTATAGACCCGGACGTTGGCGTTGAAACCCACCAGCTGCGAAACACGGTTGGCTGGCTGAGGTTCGACATGCGTTCTGAAAATAAACTCGTCGTCCACTTCAAGGGGTAATGGTGGGTAGCGGTCGGTCGGCGTCTCTGGCGGAAGATAGATCGGGGTGTCAGTGGAGCCTAACTGCTGTATTGATCGGTAGCCGGCTAGCGTCACATAGAACAGTCGCCGCGCGAGCTCCTGCTCGATCAGGTCCACTGGGCGCTCAGCTGGGCCACTGAGCCGATCATGTGATATGCCCGACGAAGAAGAGATCGGGCTTGTTGGCCCCAAGGACGACTGCACGGTCGACTGGCGGCAGAGATCGTACACATGCAACATCGTGCGGCACTCGGCAAGGTAGACCCGACATCGCCGGATGTTGTAGACATATGCCGAGCAGAGACCCAGGAAGTAGCTGATGGCAGCGTCATAGACTGTGGCGCTCCGATCGAGGTACCCGACACCTCGAGCTTGCACAGCAACATCATGACAGCGCTTGACCAAGGCAAGGGAGTGGGGAAAGGCCGCTTTCTCTGCCTCGGTCTTGAGATGAAGCTTTGGTCTCCTCGGGAAGGATGCCACCAGGCTCCCGATCATCGAGGCCAGGAGGGCCAGGAATGTCGGATTGGTGGTGTCCTCCCGTCGCTCAAAGGCGACGCGGAATGAGGGCTCATGAGGGATGGGGACCAATGGATGAATATACGTGAAGAAATCATCGACCAACAGCCACGCTGTGGGCAAAGGGCAGATGGATTCTACCGAAGATGGAATTGAAGTGGATGCGAGACTCTGGTTAACTGTGGATATTGGTGGAAGCGTCGGAGAAAAATCTGACGGACTGGGAGAGATTGCAGTAGTAGGAGCACTAGGTGAAGCTCCTAGTGTCTGTCTCTTCAGCGCCTCTGCATGACGATTCGGAGGGCCACGACGTCTGCTTGGCCTGTCATAGGTACAGGGGATGTCTAGGCTTGCACATGACCGACAGGGTGGTCCACTTGTATCACACTTTAGCCGATAAGATTAGCCTGGCGGTCCTAATTAAGATCAGATCTATAAAGATCTGATCTCGGCAAGAGAGGTACTTTCCTTGACCTTGCGTATACTACAAGCATCACATGCTTTTCGCAGTCTGGTTTTGTTGTCCATTGGCACATCCGAGTGATTTCCTTACCATTTCCATGCCTCAGGCCGGAATCATCGGGGATTCAGGCACTCAATCCTGATAAAAGCCGCTTATGAGGCCAACAGATCTCCGGAATCCTTTCTCCACAAGAGAGATGATGCTCCTAATGGATCAATGATCCGGGGAACCGACAATTGTCGAATGACAATGACGACGTTCAAGGTATGGCCTGGAGATCCCCCTATATCTAGTGCCCGCGGAACCCGAAAGACGAATACAAAGCTACCCCACCACGCGAGTCACTGTCGGACGAGGTTGAAAGATAGCACAGTGAGAACGAATAATCAAAGATGAAGACAAGAACCATCCACTCGTAGAAGCGATAGCATGGTTTTGCCTTCTAAAGTTCGAAGTTGGTTCAACAGAGCAGTCCGAGACTCGGGGAGGTGATGAAACAGCTACCCGAACGTGGCGGCGATATCGGTATTATTGTACACTGAGGCACTTCAGCAGTGCAAACAGACTAGATACTGACTGTTCTGGATCTCGGGTCAAGACTTGCCGAGTAATGCTTGCAAGTACTTGTAAAGGAGCGAAGACATTCAAAGTCTACCTATCAAACGTCGAGCCGCTGGTCTGGAGACTTCGTGAATGTTACCGTTTCACCTCAGTGCATGTCACGTGAGGCGTATCTCCTTTCGTGTGGTCAAGTCCAAATAAACTTTCAATTAGACTACTGAGAAAACAAGACGACATCGTCAGGCCTGAACCTCCGAAGAAAGCTGGGGACGAGGATTTGAAACCTCGGATTCATATCAAAAATTTATGATTCGACCAGACTTCGCCAGAACAAAGAACTATCACAGTCACAGGACCGTCCATGGATGTCCGATTTAAGAAGGAACTCCTCATTAATGCAGTCACTAACGGCATATCGTGTTTTAAACTCGGCTAAACCAGTGGTATAAGGCCAAACAGGCGAGGGGTTTAGATTATATTGTCATCATCATGATACTCGTTAGTCATGCCGTCATGTCGTCCTCGTAAAGCATCACGTCTGTTCTCAATGTCTCTTACCCAGAGGGCAGACCCAGCCGCAGTTGACATGAGGAAGAACATCGAGAAGGCAGGAATCAGCTGTAGAAGCAGAGCAACTGTTCCGAATCTGTGTCCACAAATCAGAAATGATTGGCCGAATAGATCAATGCGCAAGACGAGGTACATACGTAGTGTATTGAAGCTGCCGATGACGGATCCTTTCCTTCCTTTGTTTCTTCGACAGATCTAGCATTTGGAAATACCGCCAATGATGAAATGGCCCCGCGCGATAACCGGTCAACAACAAGAACATTGGCGTGCCTGCGACGGGGATGAAGTTCAAGGGCAGCAAGACTATAAACTCGATGATCTGCCGCAGAGAAAATGGCGAATACACCGCGCTGTGGGTCGGTTTACCCAGCCGCTTGACAACGTCGTCGCCCTGGGGATACAGGACCCTACAAGCGGTGACGAGCTCGCCATGGCCCTCGTTGACAAGAACAGCATCAAAGATGTCCACCAACGTCTCGTCGACAAAAAATGCCTCAAACAGTAGCGCTACGATGGCCGCTCCTTCTCCAAGAACGAGAAATGCACCATTGACCCAAGCACCGGCGCCTTGGAAGATCGCGAGAAAGGCAACTTGTGGCAGATATGTGAAAAGAAAGAGGATGAAGTAGATAAATGTAGAAAGCAGGACGATAGGTATCAAACGCGCCCGAAACAGCGGCCAAAGAAATCGGTGCGACGCAAAGTAGTAAATCCCCTGTGACATTCATGAAGCGGTCAGCGAATATACAGGCAACGAGATTAATAGGATAAACGTACACGCAAAGGATATAACCAAGCAGCTTTGCTAGGATCCCACAGCCTGTTCATTTCAGTTCTAGCCAAGGCAAAGCTACAGTAACACCCTAGTATGTCAATCTCGTTGTGATCATAGTTGAAAGAGGGATGTGATGATCTTCAGGCGGCCTCGTTCAAACATGCCAAGAGAGCCGTCCTTATCGATAAGCAGTAGTATCAACACTATAAAACCAGAAATTTCTTCCCGCGACTCAATCTTTTTTCTTCTTTTCTCTTTCATACTAAACTGATCATCCTCCTTATTCACTCTGATATCCACATTTCTCAATGGATCCTGGAGGGGAAATAGGAGGTCAGATGAACGATTGCTGACTTACCCCAAATTCTTCTTACTTTTGTGGAGCGTTTGGAAATATTGACAGCGTACATCACTTTTCGGTATTGCTGGACTGGCCTCTGGAGCCATACGAAATGGAGTGGACCAAAGGACAAATTCGCCTGCACATTGCTGCATAAGTAGAGCAGGTTCATGATATCTCGCTGTAGATCCTATAATGGCTGCTGACAAAGTCTACGACTTGGTCAATGTTGCTCACTACGGCCGTTGGCTCTAATTTCCAGCTCTGCTCTGTCTCTCCAACTGCAGTTCTCGAGGTCTACAAAGACCGTTCCTACGCTCAGAGCTCCTGTGACATCAAAAGCATTTCCGTTGACCAAACATACGCCTTTCCATGCATTAGACTTTCAACCCTGTCCGCCAAGAGATAGTAGACCGCCAGTGAGGGCTTGAATTGCCCAATTGTCATCGAATAGAGATAATATCCGGGATACGTCTGCGTGAAATTGCAATGTCTTTTGAGCGCAAAATCGTGTTGGAAATCTTAGAATGGGTGCCGGCGACCACCTTCATATTCGGGACCGCTGCCATTTCTCGGGTAGCTCGATGTAAATACCGGCTATACTCGAGAGAGCTACCCATGCTGCTTAGTCTCCAGGTATATTCAAGTGCTCTTCAGCTTTTCGCAATTCTCTGTGCTCTGGTTTCGTGGAATATAGCTCCAGCTAGTTGCCGATGGTGTTCGGGGAAGACATTGCCATAGATATCGAGAGCTATCACAATTTCTATAGCATTGTTCCAGGAAAATTCAGGGATCATATAAGTCAGTCTACAGTACACGAATCGAATGATAGTCAGAGATCAGCAGCAGAGATGTACCTGCTTAAAGCTCCTTTAAGATGACCGCCTCAAACATCATAGGCAACACCACCAGCGATGATGTCAATTCTCGATAAGCAGGGCGGTGATGGTTCGTGTTTCCACCACCTTCAAATCCGGACAGCCATCGCGCACTGCCAGAACTACGACACATCTACGCCCGTCGACTCAGCATCAGTCTGTGCGACTCGATGACCTCGCGTGGAACCAGCGAGGGGAGCAACTATGAGGTCTTTCGGGAATGTCTCTCCAGCGCAATCGTGCAAAGATCCGATAATGGCAGACCCAACCGGACATCGAAGCGAAAGGCGCAGAAATCCAAACGCGGCACTAGGAAACTCGCTACTGATGCAGCTGATACCGATACCACGGATTCCGGTTCCTCGTCTCTACCATCTCGGGTGAATCCAGAAGAGCTGGCCGAGTTCATCGATGTACGAACCCCGCCTTACAGGATCACGAGGGTATAGAGGCATACTGAACAGAGACTACAGTTCCTCGCATCAGAAACCTTCCCCTCACTACCAACAGACCTTCAAACCCTCTCCTACTCAACCATCCAGCACGACCCCGTCCTCGCAGACAAATACACCCCCTCCCCGCTCCCCCGCTCCCTCCTCGAGTCTATAACAGCTACCGTCCCCGTCGCCGTCTCCGACTCCCTCTCCGTCTACGGCCTCGTCCCCGACCCGTCCGACGTCCCGGACTTTTTCGCCCCAGTGCTGAGCGAGTATGTGGCCAGCGTGACCGCCGCGCCGCCGGTATGGGCGACGACGCGCACCGACGCCTGCGAGATCTGCGAGCGCGACTGGATCCCCCTCTCGTACCACCATCTGATTCCACGCGGCGTGCATGCAAAGGTGCTCAAGAAGGGGTGGCATGAGGAGTGGATGCTGAATAGTGTGGCGTGGCTGTGTCGGGCGTGCCATAGTTTCGTGCATCGGATGGCGAGTAACGAGGAGCTGGCGAGGGAGTACTATACCATCGAGAGGATAATGGAGAGGGAGGACGTACAGGATTGGGCGAAGTGGGTGGGAAGGGTGAGGTGGAAGGCGAGATGAATGCGATGCGTCTAGCTGGAGTTTGGGATCATGCAATGCTTCCTTGAAATTAGATTCTAGAGACGTAGTCTGGTCATGAATAGTCTATGTAGATAATGATATCCTATTGTACATGAGATGCAAATCTCCAGGCATATGCGACTTTTCCCAAACCTGTGTATATCTATCATGTCAATTTGCACAAGAGAAGAGAAGGAATTCAACCAGGTAAGAATACAGTGACCTGCCAGAGGAGGTTACAGAAGAGCAGGTCGTCTCGGTAATTGAGATAGAGAAGAGCTTAGAGGTATCTCTTCTCATAGATCTCTTCGTAGCACTGGATGTGATCACCCACAGCAAAGTCGGTCCAGCCTTCGAAGCCGATACCACATTCCGTGTCTTTGCGCATTTCTGTCACGTCCTTCTTGACGTTCTTCAGCGACGCAATCGTGCCTATACATTCAGTCAGTTATCGATGCCTTAAGTGTGAAGTCCCCAAAAGAATAAAGCATACCGTCATAGATCGTGTCCTGTCCCCTCAACACTCGAACCTTCCTGGCCCGGTGGATCACACCATTACGGACTTTGCATCCCGCAATAGCAACCTTCTCTCTTCCCTTCAAGGTGATCTCGAAGATCTGACCAACTTCTGCTTCACCCGTGACACGCTGTGTGACCGATGGCGCCAGGTGCTCACTGAGCGTCGCCTTGACTTCATCCATGAGCTTGTAGATGATATTGTGATTCATGATTCTGACCCCCCGCAGTTCCGCCATCCGGGACATGGCAGGGTCGATCGGCATATTGAAAGAGATGATGTTGCCGCTTGCTGTGGCTGCATGCTCAATGTCAAACTCACTGATGGGCCCTACTTCGGAGCGAAGCACATTGGCATAGACTTCGTTGTTGCCAATGGCCGTCACAGAATTGAGCACCGCCTCGGCAGAACCGCCAACATCGGCCTTGATGATGAAATGCACCGGTTTGGGTCCGGATGCATCCTGGTCAGCAAGAGCTTCCGCTCCCTCGTCCTCCTCTTGCCGTCGCTTTTCTTGCTGTTCTCGACGTGCTTCGTTGATGGCCGATGTGTCCTCACTCAATCTTTGAGTTTCCGACTTCTCCTGGCGATACTCCACGACGTCCTTGGCATGCTGCTCGTCCTCCGCCTGGAGAATCTCGGTACCGGCAGTGGGCTGCTCCCTCCAACCATCAATTTCCACCGGCATGCCGGGAGAAGCTTCGGAGACGGCGACACCTGCTTCATTGCGAAGCGTGCGAACACGAGCCCACGTTGTACCAGCGACGATGATATCTCCCGGTCGCAGGGTACCACGTCTGATGAGAGCCGTCGCAACACGTCCGTAGCTCTTCGTTGTAGCTTCAATCACCCAGCCTTCCACCGCACCAGCTTTGTCGGCTCGATGGTCAAGAACCTCCGAGAGGGCGACGATAGCCTCCTCGAGTTCCAACATGCCCTGGCCGGTTTTTCCGCTCACACCGATAGCCTGGACATCGCCCCCGTAGTCTTCCACATGGACACCATGTACAGAGAGGTCTTGCTTGACCTTCTCTGGGTTGATACCTTCTTTGTCGATTTTGCTGACAGCGACAATGATGGGAACGTTGGATTCGGTGGCGTGCTTGATGGCCTCAATAGTCTGTGGTTTGACACTGTCGTCCGCAGCAACCACCAGCACGACAATGTCAGTTACGTTGGCACCGCGACGACGCATATCCAAGAACGCTGCGTGGCCAGGTGTGTCCAAGAAGGTGATAGTCTTGCCCGAAGGCATAGCTACGGAGAATGCACCGATGTGCTGTGTAATACCCCCGTGCTCCGATGCGGCCACAGACGACTTTCGGAGCCAGTCCAGAATGGTGGTCTTGCCGTGATCGACGTGACCCATAATCGTCACTACCGGTGGCCTAGGCGGCAATGCGGATTTGTCTTCTGGCTCGGGAGCAGCAACCAGGTCCTGATCATCAGCCTCGAATATAGGTTCGAAGTTGTACTCGCTCGCGATCAAGCCTGCGGTTTCAGCGTCAAGAATGTGGCTGTACGAGACATCTTCAAATCCCATTTCTTCCATTCTCCGAATGAATTGAGCCGGCCGCACACCAATGACATCAGCGAGGTTGCTGACGCTGATGAATTCCGGAAGGTAGAGAGGACTGGGAGCCGCCGCCTCGAGCTCCTTCTGCCGGGCCTTCTCTTTCTTCTGGCGCTTACGTTCCTGGCGGCGACGGCGGCGGTCGTCTTCTGGGTCAAATTCTTCGTCGTCAATATCTCCTCGTTCCTTGCGACCTTCCCACCGCTTGGGCTTTTGCCCGCTCTGAGCCTCTGCTTCATATGTTTGTTGAAGTTTCTCCAGGGCTGACTGGTCCCATGTCCATGGGTCTGCCTCCGGTTTGGATGATTTGCGAACTGCTCCAGAAGCTTGGCGGTCGGCACCGCGGGTTCCTGAAACCTCATCCCTAGCATTCAACTGTCGCTGTTCTGCAATGGACTGCCTCTTTGATTCAGTCGATGCAGGTGGAAGTTCGGTCTTACGTCCTGTCTGCACAAGGTAGCCGTCAAGCGCGACGTCTTTCAAACCTCCGCCCTTTGTGCTTGATTCCCGTAGACGGCGTCCAGAGTTTTGGGTTTCATATTCCGACCGCAACGAGTGGGCCAGCTTCCGAATCTTTATGGCGTTCTGCTCTTGTTTTTTCGGACGAGGCGGCTCCCGGGCTGGCTTGTCCACTTTCGGCTTTGGGGTATTACAGCGTGGACAGGTGCTGCTCCTCCCGAAACAATGGTACTCGCATTGTGGGCAATACCAATCCTTCCCTATAAGCTTTTTCTTTGGTCTGCCCGAAGTCACATCGACTTTTTTCTCTGGTTGGCGCTCCCGTAACGAAGCGGAGGATCGCCTCGTTCCGGCAGCATCGAGCACTCGTAACAAATCGTCCGTCTTTTCTTGTAGCGCAGGCCTCTGCAGTCTTTTTTTCTCCACCTCCTTCTCCTTCGCGGTGGCTTCCTCCCTTGCTACTAATGAATCGCGAAGCGCTAGTTCAGCCGGACTCAATGTGGCCGGTTTGAGCGCCTGCTTAGCTCCCCAGCGACCACCAATTTTCGAACCTCCCCATGCTGGACGGGATACCGACCCATCTTCGTTAGGATTCGCTGGCTCGGATGACGATTCAAGGATCGCTAGGGACGAACGAAAGCTCCGTCGGGGAACATAGGCTGGTATCGGAGCAGAAGCAGATTTCCTGGACCTGGCTGGGCACGACCATTCGGGCCCGTGACGGCGAGAGAGCTGTGATGTTTCTAGATGAGAATCAAAATCGAGGACTGCAGTTGAGTTCACTTACCTCCACGACTAGCCTCCTATGCATAATTCGATGGAAGAGATCACACCCTCTCTCTCTCTCCAGCACTGCTATGATAGTCGGAGCGTTTTCCTCGGGGGTCAAATTTCCAGACGATACACGATTACATACCCGGTAAATGAAATACGCGTTTCCAGACGGGGTTTCCCGCGCACGAGGTCACGTGCGTCGGCGCATCCGCCGAATCGGAGACAAGAATTACATGGCTGCAGTGGAGAGATCCCACCATTCCGCCCCGATAAGAGGTGCTAGGATCTTTTATATCCCTTAAGAGAGAGATTCCTCTGGTCCTCCGGGAAAGTGAGTCAAATCCTCTTACTTCGCGCCGAACCATCTTGTGGGAGATAAACCCGCGCCAATTGCCGCAGAGTCTTATCGCAGATCAACTCGGGTCAATTGTTACGCCAAGATGGAGTCGGAGGCCTTTGAGGACATGCAAAAGGGCGGAGGAGCTCTGCGCACCCTCAAGGATTTGGCTGCTGGTGCTGCGGGCGGCGTTGCGCAGGTGCTTCTTGGTATGTAGATATCGATCCTTGATTCTAGTCAACTGTATGCGCTTGCGATACTAACGGCTTGTAGGACAGCCTTTTGGTGGGTGAACCAGAGACTCACAGATAGAGTCAAACCTTGGTTAACACTTATCAGATATTGTCAAGGTGCGGTTACAGACGACGTCAGAGTACAAAAGCGCTCTTGACTGTGCCACGAGAATCTTCAAGAACGAGGGTCCCTTGGCTTTCTACAAGGGGACTTTGACCCCACTCGTTGGTATCGGTGCCTGTGTAAGATTCAACTCCTTGACATTTGCTGGCAAGAAGAACTCATGTCCTGCAGGTCAGCGTACAATTCGGTGCGTTCCATGAAGCCAGAAGACGGCTGGAGGAGCTCAACAAGAAGAAGTATGCCGATCCCACCCTCTCCTACGGCCAGTACTACCTGGCCGGAAGTTTCGCGGGTCTCACCAACTCCGCCCTCTCGGGACCCATTGAGCACGTCCGTATCCGCCTGCAGACGCAGCCTCACGGCGAGGGCCGCTTGTACAGCGGACCCCTCGACTGCATCCGGAAACTCGTTGCTCAGGGAGGCGTGCTGCGCGGTCTCTACAGGGGCCAGAACGTCACGTATTTCAGAGAAGCCCAGGCCTACGGTACCTGGTTTCTGACCTTCGAGTACCTGATGAACCAGGACGCCAAGCGCAACAACATCAAGCGCGAGGAGATCTCCAGCATCAAAGTCGCGACCTACGGCGGTCTTGCCGGTGAGGTCCTGTGGCTGAGCAGCTACCCCTTCGACGTGGTCAAGAGTAAGATGCAGTGCGACGGCTTCGGTGCGCAGCAGCAATTCAAGAGCATGACCGATTGTTTCAAGAAGACTTTTGCCGCGGAGGGCTTTGGCGGCTTCTGGAAGGGCCTGGGGCCGACTCTGCTGAGAGCTATGCCCGTGTCTGCGGGTACCTTTGCTGTGTACGTTCCGCTTACGTTGTCGATATGACTTTTGTGCTGACTTGTTATAGTGTCGAGCTCACCATGAGAGCATTGGGCTAGACATGCCTGTCTAGTCGTGTTTTGTCATTGTTTCTTTCAGTTAGATATCCAGATCTCGTTCATTTCAACATGAGATTGAAGGAAAAGTTTCATGAGGCAGATAGAGGATGTTCATACTTTATTCATATTGGGCCTTTGTTTATATGTACATGGTCGAACGATAATGAGACTCAGAACGATCCCCCCCCCCAAGTGCTTACCCTCTTCCAGAGTTATCAACTAGATCGCCAATGAAAAATCTCCAAAGAAGTCCTGCCACGCGGTAGGGAAGTAGAAAAGATTCAGTCCAGGAAAATCCCACTCCGTGACAAACTGCTCGGGCACAAACGACTGCAGATCCGCCTGCGCATCGAACAGCTCCCAGAACGGAACCATGGCCGCCTGGTCAACGTCCATCCCGCTCTCCTGCACGGCCCTCCCGTATTTCTCAACGCTGAGCTTGAGAATCTGCAGGTAGATCTTACTACTACCGTTCGTGTTACCTTGGGCGTCCACGCTCTTGGTCAGTTCGCTGAGCAGTCGATTCCCGTGCTCGAGGAGCTCCTGGTGTTCTTCTTTCCGTTCCGGCAGGAGACGCGAGAGCTTGAGGAGGAGAAGGAAGCAGAAGGCACACTTGGCCCAGACAAAGTCCATAGCGTATTTCAGTTTCGCCAGATAGAAGTCCGGCTCGCTGCTGATCAGGCGCAGGTGCTTGCGGGCGCTTGCCTTGGCCATGACTAGGATATTTCGCTCGGAGGGAGACATTGCCCTGTCGGATGTTAGCTGACGAGCGTGGGAATGCAGCTCGGAAAAACGCACGCAACATTCTCTACGCCCATTGATCGCAGCGCCTTGCAGTAAAGCATCATCTCGGCCCAACATTTCTGTACGCGCAGTGCGAGCAGGAGGAACGGCTTTTCCGCTTCGGCGGGGATCGAGTCTTCTGTAGACGGTAAGCCATTAGCATGCTAGGTAGCTCGGTAACCTTCAATGAGCTTACCGATAATGCGCAACCAGTCACTGATACCAGTCAGTATATCACGCCATAGGATTGAGAGGAGAGGGATACGAACTCGAACCAGAGATCAAGTTCAACCTTGACCTCTTGCACGAACCCAGCAATGTCTGAGCGAATAAGAGTCTCTTTGCCGCTCAAGGTATCGTTGATAGTAGCTGCTGGAGATCAGCTGAATCGTTCAGAACACAGGTCACATTTGTGGGACTACCTCTAATGGCGTTTAGCTGTAACGATGGTCAGTTTCTTCACAGTGAAGTGGCCTTTCTGTTGACCTACCTCAACTTGAGAGAACAGACGCAAATCCAGAACAGTCGATGAAGGGTGTTTCAGCAATGTTCGACACCGACGTGCGTTCCCAAGCAATCGGATGCCCGGCGGTTTGCCGCCATCTACACGAAAACTAGACGATGATTGTCAAATCCATCCATCCAGTATCGACCAAGAGCGGCTTACATATGCTCCAAGACCAGTAGTCCGAACCAGGTTCTGGACTTTCGCAATAAACTGCGTTCCTCCTCTGTAGATCCAGAAGTTCCATGTAACTCCTCAACTTCTTTCATCGACATACGCTGGGTCAGCTCCTCGAAAGCTTCGTCCAGGTCCAGATCTAAGGCCATTCGAGTAGCGAAGGATAAGATCAACGAGCGCTCCGTAGAATAGCAGGCGACAACGAGCAATGCTTGGACAGACTCCAGGCAATTCAACCTCTTGTTTTGAATGATGACATTAATCCACTTCTTGAGTTCCGCGTGCAGTATATCGGATATCTGAGGACCGAACCCTAACATATGTTAGCAGAGCGCCTTCGGCAGGCATAGTGCAAGATTGGCAATTACTGGGTTCGATGCGGCTTCCTATCGTGCAGATAGCGTTGAGTAGGATGCTGCTTCGCGAGCGCACCGAATCGAAGGTATCGTAGTCAGGGTCGAATACCGGGATATACCTGTCCTGTTTATAGCAACGTACGTATTAGCAAGCCGGAATGAAGATACAGAAGTAGTGTAACACATACGCAACCTTGGAAGAATCTGTACCATCTTTGGTTAGCAAACGATGGGTCAAAGTACGAACTTTGGCAAGGGATCTCACGTGTTGAAACAAGAAATGGCATGGTCTGGCGTCATCAAGCCCTTTGAGATAAAATCCGCGACCGGCTCGTCGCGGATCTCGAAGCCAGACCGTTTCCTCTTTGTCACACTGCCTGCTTCTGTGATGATAGTTTGCATGCGAGAATGGGTAGAAACTTCTCCAGGGCTGGCAGCCAGCCCATGTACCCCTGATTGGTCGCCAGCCTGGGCCTCTGCATAATTGGCCTCTGGAAGTTGAGGCACAATGGTGGACCCAAGCATCATCTGAGAAGCAGGGGACATATGGCACTCTGGGCCTTGTCCATTAGGAGGCAGATTCCCTCTATGAGGCGCCTGGCCCTCAGTGACGAGAACTCGGGCGTCCGGATTTGAACATGTCTGCAGAAGATCACGTAGAGCATCCACTTGCTCTCTGAGATGACGAACCTCAGCTTCGACATTTTCGAGTCTCCTGCGGAGGCGTCAGTCATACAGGGAGTAAGCGTAAAACAGGTGCGAGTACATACTCCGTCGCAGGGTCCTTTGGAATGTGGAAAAAGACACATCGCTTTTTCAGTTTGTTGCACCTGTAGACAATCAGCACCATCGATCTCCCTAGCATGGATATGAATGGTGGCGAATGGTACCTGGTGCAAGGCCTCTTCCCATCACATTTGACCTGGGTACATTAGCGACGAGCCACAGAATACCATAGACGAAGAGAACATACCTTTGATGTTCGACAAGCGCTACAGGCTCTCTAGATCACGTTGTCAGCTATATTGTCGCATGTGCTCAGACAGATGGGGAGAGGGAAACATACCGGAATCCGCTTCTTACCCGGTGGAGCCGACACGACACGGGATGATGCATCTGAATCCATCGCAGGATGAATACATATCACATATCCAGTAAAATACACTGGCAGCTACTCGTTGACTGCGGGAGAATCTGGGGAAATCAAGGTTCCAGCGGAACAGTGTTGAGAAAATAGACTCAGTGGGGTGACACCCTCATCGGGATTAAGCCGGCTCGGCATTGTGTATAGCATAAATCTACGCTGGAATAGAACAGTGAGACAGGTCGTGTTTATACGGCTGAGAAGAATGGCAGTGGATATATGCTTCGAATTTAAGAAATATAATACAGATTTAAGTCTGAATGATTTCCTTCATGATCAAATTAGAGGCTTATCATCAACTGAGTGAGTTATCAATCCAACCTAATCAATAATACAAGTAGCAGATATCCAACAACAAAAACATGGATAATAAATTAGAATACATAGACAAAGTCCTCATTTTGCCAGTCCGTAAGGTCCTTGAACGCATTGTCTTGGGTGACAGTCTGCTGGATAGGCACCCCCTCCTTGTCTACTGGTACAGCACCAACAGAGTACATCGAGTGATCGATGATAATCGCACTCTTGCCCATTGAAACTCGCTTCTGGGAGTGCTTCTTGTTGAGAACCCAGAGATACACCAGGTTTATACTTAATGTGAGGGTTAGAGCTTGAGTGCCGCGAAGGGAAAGGGTAACAACTTACAGGCAAAGAAGAACCAGAACGCAGAACATGGCGAGGCTGTTTTTCGTTAGTGTGCAGGAACGAGTCGGGTGTGTC